GTATTCTGAACTCCAGGAATCGCCCACATCCTGAATTGTGCTGCAGGTGTGGTGAGCTCTCTGGGAGAGGCCGAGTGAGAAACTGCCAAGGTCAGAGTCCTGGGGGTACACAGACGTCTGAGGAAGAGGGAGAGGGAAGGAAGAAGGGGCAGTGAAGCAACTGAGGAGAGGGTGGTCAGCAAGGCATGGGGAGAGCCAAAGAAAGTAGTGTCAAATGTTTAAAAAGAGGATGTTCCAGAAAGGTGGAAGTGTCAGAAGGTGTCTGACGCCTTAGAGAGGCCAAGTCCAGACGAGGCACTGAGAGAGTCTGTTGTTGGGGGAGCCATTCCTGGGGTGTAGAGGGAGCTGGAATCAAGTTGCAAAACTGATAGGGGAGCAAATGAGGACTGGGGGAAAGGAAGTGGTGGTTGTGGAAGATTAGTGGTGATGGAGAGAGAACTAAGGAGGGCAAGTGCTTGCAGGGGGAGGTGGGCTGAAGGAGCATTGGGGGATGGGAGATGAGAGAAGCTGGAGCAATTCTTGGGCTCCTTGTGCTGCTCTCCCTCAGTGAAGGAAAAGAAGCCTCATCCCCTCTGTGCATTACATGGCGTTCCCCAAAGCTGATCTTTTCTAAAGTAAAAGTCCAGGGCAGGTTAGGTTGGCCCTCAGGAGGGACAGGTCAGGATGTTTGGATCTAGGTTTATGTTCTGGCATCTGAGAGGATAAAGGGCACTGAAGCATTCTCAGTCTGTCCATTCTACCACTTGGAAGGCTGAAATTTTGTGTTTTTATTTTCCAGAATGAAACTTCAAGACCATAGAAGTCTGGAGTTCAAAAACTTGTTTTCTATGATATTCATAGTAGCATTAAAATTTAAGATGACCTAGTCTTCTCTAAAGAGTTGTTTTCTTGCTATTTCTCAAGTGTAGGTCAGGTGTTGCAAATGAATCATCTTGTGCAGTGGATTGAACTTCTGAAAATTATGTGGGGGCATCCTGTTCGACTATTGGGTAGGTCCTGGGTGTTAGATATGCTCTTTTTAAGTATCCATAAAACTTGCCAAAGAAACATATTTAATTGGAAAGCAATGCTTTGCATTTCTTATTCTGTATCAAATATTTTACTTTGGATCAATGACTTCCATTCTTGTAGGAAAAAGAAACATTTCCAATTTGAATTTCTTAAGATGGCATTGATGACAGGCCAATCTATATAGATTTATTTAAAGTATGATTACAGTAAGTAGCCCACTTATAAATGGGTTGCATTTGGAAGTTTCATTTGAAGTAGGTTTTTTAAAAAGAATGTTTAATTCAACTTTTAATTTTGAGATAATTATAGATTCAAATGCAGTTGTAAGAAATAATACAGAGAGATCCTGTGTGCCTTTTACCCAGTTTCCCCTGATGGTAACAACTTGTAGAACAATATCACAACGAGCGTATTGGCATTGATACAGGCAGTAGCCCACTAGAAGATTCCATAACAAGGACCCCTCATGTTGCCCTTTATAGCCACTAATCTGTTCTCCACTTCTACAGTGTTGTCATTGGGGAATGATATATAAATGGAATCATACAGCATCTAACCTTTTGGGATTGGCTTTCTTTCACTCAGCGAAATTCCCTGGATATTCATCCAGGTAGTTGCATGTGTCAATAGTTTGTTCCATTTTTTTGCCAAGTAGTATTCATGGTATGGTTGTACCACAAGTTTATTTAACCATTCGTCCATTGAAGAACAGCTGGGTTGTTTCCAGGTTTGGGCTATTACAAATAAAGCCACTATGAACATTTGTATTCAGGTTTTTATATGAAAATAAGTTTTCACTTCTCCGGAATAAATGTCCAGGAGTGCAATTACTGGTGCAATTACTGCAATTTTGTTTTCTAAGAAACTCTGTTTCCCAGATAGCCATTTTACATTCCCACCAGCAATGTGTAAGTGATCCCGTTTCTCTTTGCCAGCATTTGGTGTTGTCACTATTTTTTATTTGTGCCGTTCTGATAGATGTGTGGGGATATCTCATTGTTGTTTTAATTTGCATTTCTCTAACGCCCAATGATGTTGAATGTCTTTTCGTGGGCTTATTTGCCATCTGTGTACCTTCTTTGGTAAAGTGTCTCTTCACGTCTTGTGCCTATTTTCTAATTGGACTGTTTGGTTGGTTTGCTGTTAGATTTTGAGAGTTTTTCATATATTCTAGATGTTTGTCCTTTTTCAGATATGTAATTTGCAAATATTTTCTCACACTCTGTAGCATGTCTTTTCATCCTCTTCGAGAGGTCTTTTGCAGATCAAAAATTTTACATTTTGTCATTTTCTTGTTTGTTACTTTATCCGTTTATGGATCATGCTTTTGCTGTCAAGTCTAAGAACTCGTGCCTAGGTCCCAAAGATTGTCTCCTATTTTTTTTTCTAAAATTTTTATAGTTTTATATTTTACATTTAACTTTGTGATCTGTTTTCGGTTAATTTTTGTATAAGGAGTGAGCATTAGGTCAAGGTTCTTTTTTTTACCCATAGATGTCCACTTGCTCCAGCACCATTTTGAAAAGGCACTTTTTATCAAAAATCAGTTGGGTCTATTTGTGTGGCTCTTTTTCTGGGGTCTCTATTCTATTCCATTACTGTAGTTTTATAGTAGACCTTGATATGGGATAGAATGATTACTCTCACTTTATTCTTCTTTTTCAAGATCGTTTTAGCTGTTCTAAGGCCTGTGCTTCTGTGTAAAAATTTTAGAATAAGCTTATCTATATCTACCAGAAATCCTTGCTGGGATCCTGATAGGAATTGCATTAAATCTGTAGATTGCTTTGGAGAGAAGTGACATCTTTACGACGTTAACTCTTCCAACCCACGAACACAGTGTATGTCTATTTGTTTAGGTCTTTTGTGTGTCTTTTATCAGCATTTTGTAATTTTTAGCATACAGATCCTGTATATATTTAGTTAATTTTATATCTAAATATTTTATTTTCTTTGGAATGATTGTAAATGGTGTTGTGTTTTTAATTTTGGTTTCCACATGTTCATTGTTATGAAATAGGTGTTATAGAAATATGAATGTAATTTCTCTTAGAAACAATATCATAAATAGGTATGGTTCCTAGATTAACCCACAGAAGTCAGATTAAAACTAATAATAAAGCTGATATAATGAACAGTTACTAGAAAGAATAGTAGACTACCATGTTGTTTTAATATTAGGGTTAATAGCAAATGAGAAATAGTTACCTATCAAATATTTTGGAAATGTCTAAGTCTAGTATAAGTCTAGTTCTTATTTTAATTTTAATTCATAATACATGATTTTCCATTTTCTTCACCAATATATCATGAAGTCTACTATCATGCATATCAAGTCTGATTACTGTCATATTTGGGAAAAAAGTGTGTGTGATGAGAGTTTCCTGAGTTTAGTTTGACAGATGGCAAAAGTACTTAGGAAAGTGTTTAAACAGATTGCACAGGTAGAATTAACTGGGATTTGAACAAAGACAAAAAGAAGAAGCGGAGAAGAATTATTCTGTTGGACCCCAGTGCGTTAATCTAGGCCAGTTTGTTTGCTACAGGGGAGCAGTGAGCAATAACTTAGAGGATCCAAAAGTTAGATGTTTGTTTTGTAGAAATGAATCTTTTTTTAGGAAAAAAAAAAAAAGACCACATTGTTGCTGTAACAATGATTCATTTTTTCCTCTTATCTTTTCTTAAAAGAAAACACCCAGATAGTCAACTGTTTTATATAAGTTTTTATTTAATTTTACCCTGCTTTGCTCCAGGAGGAGTTTAAAGCACCTTATATAAATATATAAAACAAGATAAAATAAAATTAAAAATGGATGGAAAGCACAATTGGTCAAAGGGAAAATAAGATGAAGGCCATGACCAAGATTAGGAAGCAGAAGTCATGCTGTGACGTTTTGTTTGCTTGTCATCTTGAAGTGGTTAAAAAATTTGGCTTGGACAAATTTCCTTTAACCCTTGCACAAAATAGTCTTGAAGCTGGTGTATTTTGGCTGTCCAGGACATCTGCCAGCTTTTCATCCGGCCGCAGGACTGTCTGTTCTGGGGGCAGCATTGTCCTGCAGGGTTAATTAATAACAAGAATTCAGATCCTGCTTTGGGAGGCCCCGGCTGCCTGATGCAGCTGGTGGTCTGAGAACTGACACCCAGAGGCACGCCGCCCGGGGCCTCGCGGCACCAGCTCCTTCTCTAGCCCCAGAGTTCTGGCTTTGTGGTTTGTGTTGAAGTTTGGATGAACAGTGAAGACTTTCTGTTCTTCTTTATAACAGCAAGGACACCTACCATTGTAAGTATTTTTGTAAGCAGGGTTGCAATATTTAGTTTTAATATCTAAAAAACCTCAATAACCTTTTAAGAAGTGATTATGTATGAACGTTCATTTTCTTCACTAGTTGAGGTTCTTCTGGTTTTTAAGTGACTTGAGTGACCTGAGATCCATCTGAAGATAGATCTTGCCAGTTCAGAGCATTGTCTTTGGTTTCCGGACAAAATATTGGTGGTGTTTTAGAGAAAGTACTTCAGCATGATTCTTCCTTCTGATGACTCATTTTCTACAATTGTTGGGAGTGAGAAGAAATCCACAGGTGTCTACATAATTTGTAAACTTGTAAATAGACATGCACCATTCTAGCATGCTGTTTAATATATGTGTGTGTATATATATATATACTTACTTTTTGAGTGTTCAGTATCTGAGCTTAACCAATGATTACGTGTTCTTTTTTAACCCCAAAACTAGAGTTAGAGAAATGTTTGCCCACTCAATTCTGTACTGTTAGAGCCTATTCAGTAGACTGCTGTGGCATTTTTAATTCCTCTATAAAACAAGCCGAAAGACAATATGAACAATCTCCCTGCATTTGAAGTCGCTGCTGGCCAGGCCTGTTGGCAACAGCTGATGGGCTCCTCTGAGTTTCAAGAGCTATTTCTGGTAGATTAGCTGGGATCCAGGATCTCCAGTTCAGGCCATAAAAGGCCCGTCCCATGTAGAGTTGCCTCACTGCTGGTGACGGCGTCCTCCGAGGCTGCAGTGTCCTCAGGTTTCACGTGGATTTACCCAGTAATGGATGGCCCCACCAAGGCCAGATTGTGGACGTTCAGCATCAAGGACACCAGGGGACTGACGACTTCAAAAAAAAGACTCTTTTTAATATTTTGGCGATCTTTTTTCAGAGAAACTTTGGGGATGTAGCCCTCACCTATTTCCTGCATTTGGCACCCAGGCGTCTTTTGGAAAGCACCATTCTAAATTTATCCTGTTCTGAATCATCACTTCTGGTAGATGCGCTTGCCTTGTTTGCGTGTGATATTTGATTTCGTAGAGTGTTCTTTGGGCTAAGTTTGGTATTTTACCTTTTGTATAGAATTCGAAAGTAGTATTTATTGAAAGGAGACTCAAAGAAAATACTTGAGGACATCCGAAGCCAGATTAGAGGATATAACGTGTTTTGTTTTGTTTCTTTTTTAATTAGAAAAATAAGGAATTACAGTGTGATTTTTTTCCCCCATTTAACTTAGAGGAACAAGGATTATACAGAAATTTGAAGTAAGTGAAAAATCTTCCTACGAATCTAAATGCAGTTGTGTTTTTTAAGTGCCTTCTGTCTGAGCATGCTTCCTAAAGATTTGTTGACTTCAGGAAAACACTGGAATGTTCCACCAGTGTGTGCTAGTTACTGCAGTTACTCCTCTAGGTACCCTTGGGCATGTTTTTGGTTTTGGAATGATTGGATTTTTTTCCTTAAAAACAAAAGAACTTACTTTATGGTTCATCGATGTTGATACTAACAATGTGATTCATATAATTTAGTAAGTGCATTCTGTCTAAATGTTAGCGCTTGAAGCCTTGGAATTAAAAGCATGTTCACAGTACAGAGTACTTCCCTGATTATATCACAGTATGGGGGTGGAGTTCAGAAGGGCAAGTTTTATTTCACTCTTGTTGTTAATACATCTGGAAATATAAATCACCAGTGATCCCTTTGCATAATCTTTGTGTTGACGGTTCTTTACCTCGGTACTCTGATTATTCAAGCTCGATTTATAAAACCTCTGATGTTCTAGAATTTATTTTAAAAAAAATCTCACTTTAGTTTTTAGATTTTGAACTATATTTCATTTTTAAGAAGAAAATGAAAAATGCTCTATCGGCCTTTTTAAGCCCTAGAGATAGCTGTGGTCTCTTTGTAATTTAGCTTGGTGATTTACTTCTGCTGAAAAATAGCAATGAGCTGTAGGATATTTACAGTTTATTTGACATATTGCTCCTTTAAAAAAGAAAAAAGATTGATACTTTATACGTATCAGATGGACCAGTAGGAGCAGTAATTATTTTTATCAGGTGGAGAAACAGAATATTTATAGAGATGGACTTCATCGGTGAGTACCGCTGTGGTTCTCAACCAGAGGCAGTGCTGCAACCCGGGGGGGTGTTGGGAAAGCCTTGAGAGTGTTTCTGGTTTTCACAATAGCTGCAGCTGGCATTTAGGGGACTGTGGTTAAGAATCGTAAACGCCCTGTAATGTGGGACACTCCCGTACAGCAAAGCATTGCCCTGGCCCAAATGCCCGTGGCATCCTCTGCTGAGGGAAACTACAGAGTACAAATGCTCTCTCCCATTCTGGAGAGAAGCAGCTAGAAGCCAGGTATATTTGGTTGCATATTCTCGCCAAACCAGGAGAACTCTTGAGGAGCCAAGCAGTCGGGTGTCCTGCCAGGAGTGGCTCGTCTTTGTCACTTCTCTGAAGAGGAGACAAGGTGACACAGATGGACAAAGAGGGACAGATTGCTCCTCATGCTTCTTTCTGTCAGGTGCAGAACAATGCTTGTTAGCCCTCAGGGAAATGCTAACTCTGGTGCCATGAGGGTCATTTTCAAAGTAAATTCGATTAAAGCGTCCAGCTTACATGACTTTCATTCAACAGACCCAGAGGTCTTTGCTTGTACTTTTGAGACGTACTGTTTCTTGGCAACCACACCTCTGGAAGATGTTGAATTTCGATTCAGAATGAACATCTTTGGCGACACCTGAGGTGATTTAAAATTCTACAGTTGAGGAATTGGATCCAAAGGAAAGGGCCATTGGCTTTTACAGGGCTGTCCAGAGAGCTGCAGCGTTCAGGGGTCACGGCTGCGCAGGGAGCTGTGGAGAGTGAGCTACCAGAGGCTTCTTTTTATTGTTGGGACACAAGGGAAGTCATCTCCTCGCTCTAGGGCTGCCTGGACTTTTAGGACAGTCGCTGCAATTTTATATTCAAGTGCTGACCACAGGGGGCCTCCCTGTGACGAGGAGAATTCCCATCTCTGGAGCTTTCCTGCAGTTCTGGGCTTCATGCTTTTGTCACTCTGAGCCAGAAGCCACGTCCTCACCCTTGACTCCTCTCCCTGTAGGTCACCAAGGCTTCTAAGTCTGTCTCCGAAGTGATGCTGCTGCCCACCACCTCCTCCTGAGCATCGCTGTCCCTTTCCTGGGTGATTGCAGTGCCCTTAATTGGTCCTTTTGCTCCCAAGTTCTCTGCTGTTCAGTCCATCCTCAGAATGACCTTCCTGAGGATCTGGTCATGCCACCCCTCAAAAGTTAAACCCTCCATAGTTTCCCACTGATTAAAGGCTAGAGCCCAACTCTTTCTCCCGCCCCTCAGGGTCTTTCATGCCACTGATTTTGCTGGTACCTCTCCGTGAAATGTTCTGCCTTCCTTTGCCTGCCAGGGAAGTGATATCAAATGAGATCATCCCAGAAGCTTCCTTGACCTTCTGCCTTTGAGCTCAGGGCCTTGACTCCAGTCTGTACTGCAGGGCCCTGGCATCGTGTCCTGGTGCTCCCTGCCTCTGTAGGGGGCGCCCAAAAGGGCACTCGGGTCCCAGCCCTCTTGCCACCCCAGGGTTTAACCCAGTGCCCGCTGCCCAGTGGGTGCTCCACAAATGTGAGTTGATTGAATCGAATGGGTTGGAATGACTTGTGGATTCTTCATATCTAAACTGAACCGTGTTCCGTAAAATACTTTTCCATTGTTATCTGTTATGCACTACAGAAGTGGGTGTTCTGTGTTATAAGTTCTGTCTTTTTTCCTTCCATATCTAATAATGCAAGCAGAAAGATTTGTCTTACTGTTGCAAGCCTGATGGGGTTTATGTTTATATGCTTTTGCCAACACAGGAAATTAAGGTGCATTCGATGAAGTCAGCCACTTCATTATTGGAGCCTTGCCTAAAAGGAAGAAAGTCATCTAGTGGTGTGACTTGACTTATGTACTTTTCCCCGGCATTAAACTTCATCCCTTAGGTGAAGCATCTTGGAGTGGTTTGCACGGCTGACCTCTAAGTGGGGAGAGCAGCACCCCGACGTCGGTTCAAAGAGGTCTCTGTCTTGCTTTCTCGTGGACACCCCCTGCTGCGGGACGTTTTGAAAGAGGGATGTATTTCGCCTCAGAACTTGCTTATTCTCTTCTGAAAGTTGATCCTTTAATCCCAGACAAGTTCACAACCGATTTCTAACTGGCTTTTGTGTCGATATAGCCAAAGACAGAGCTTTACTATTTGCTTTGGGATGGTTGATTTACCCATGTCACCGTGCTGGATTCATTTCAGCACATAGGTATTAAGTGGGTCACCTCAGTATTGCACACCTGTGTGCGGGTCTGCGGGTTGGAGATGCTGTGGGATGAAGAAGCCTGAAGCATGTTCCCTGACTTGGAGAACTCATTCCCTAGAGGAGTTCAGACATGGACATGATGAAGCTATTATACAAGGAGGCTGGAAGGGATGAACAATGATAACATGCCATCTATCAATACTGTGTGCCAGGATCAATGCCAACATTATCTCATTTAATTTTTACAATGGCCCCTGAGAAATAGTACTGTCATCATCTCCATTCTATAGAGGAAAAAACCGTGGCTCAGAGAGGCTTGGGCAAGGGCACATACCATTGGGTCAGGGGGATAGAGCTGGATTTGAACTTGTCTATCTGACTTCAGTGCCCACGTTCATAACCACTGCTTTAAACCAGTGCGTCTCACACTTCCGGCATCACCTGCGATCTCATTAGGTGCAGATTCTGATTCAGTAGGTCTGGGATGGGCCAGAGATTCAGCAAACAAGACCGCATACGATACTGATGCCTCTGGTTTGAGGACCAACTTTGAGTAGCACTATTTTAAACGACCTCCTTGCAGAACCACCGAGATGGAAGCAACCAGGTCTGATGGGGATTTGAAGATGCCTTCCCGGGGTGGAGGTGGTCTTCCAAGGCTAATCCACTCCTAGTGCTTTCCATGCCATCCCTTCCCACTCTTTGCTTATACAGTTGTCCCCATTTTTTCTTATTTCCAATTCCTGCCTTTCTCCTGCCTCCTCCTCCTCATGTTGAAAACATACTCAAGTTTCCTCCATCCTAAATAAAACTCCCCTTGACCTCAACCCATCACCTATTTCTTTCACCACGTGTTCACTCCTCAACACCCACAACTCTGTCAACCGTGGTCTCCCGGCGATATTGACCCCTCTGAGCTCTACGTCGGAGCACCTCTTTATGAGCATCCCATCTCAGGTCTAGCGAAGTCTACACGGACTGCTGTGTTCTTGCCCTCTCCTGTCACCTTTATTTTCTACATCATGTGCTGTGTCTTCACTTGTGCAGCTTCCACTTCTTAGGCTCCATGTTAAGATAAAAATTGTGCTGCTCTTTATGCAATGAATTATATGCCCTGTCCATTTCAGATGGAATATATTCATGTGGGTTTTACAGCTTATTTTCTCTTTTTAATTAGAAGTTATTCACTTCTAATGAGCTATGTTAGGGTCTGTATCCTATATAACCAGTATTGGTAGAATTATGCATAAAGAGAGAACAATTTGTTTCTGAGTGAAGACCCAAAGGGCTTTTATAAATAGTGCACCTACAATTTGTGAACTGTGTTTTGGTTAATCGGAGCCCTTTTGTTTCTTTCTGGATTTTCAAGTACATTCTGAGTATGGAAAGTTGGCAAATAACTTAAGCTCAGATACATAGGGTCATTGAACAGAAAAGTAATATTGATATTTTTAGATTTTTAAGTTTTCAAATACTTTAAATATTTTAATCCCTGGTCTTTTCATACATTCTGAAAACACCGTACCTAATTTTACCCCATCTAACCAAAAATGTAAAATATACACATGTACTTGCACACGTGTTACACACTCAACAAGAACAAACAAGCCACTCCAGCCAAAAGCCAAATAAAAAAGCCATTGATTTTCAGTAGAATATATTAAATATTATTGAATATTATTAAATATATAATAAAATGTAAAATATAAAATATGTTGAATTAAGAAGTCAGTTATGAAAGATAAAATAACCTTTGGAAGTTTTAATACTGCTTTTATATACATATTTTTTTAGAAAAAGATTTTTTTTAATTTAAGCTTAAATTAAGATTAATTTAATTTATTTCAGTTAACATGTGCTAGCATGGTCACAAAATACAGCTACGTGCATTTATTTTGCCATTAGTTCATTTCTTTAACAATTACTATTACGAAACCCAAGGACAAATGACATTT